TTGAAAGCCATAGAGAAGTATAGTTTACATGACATGTGTTTGAGTCAAACAGTTTGACTGCAGTTTGAATGCATTGATAGTTATTAGGCATTGAATCGATTGTCACAATCAGTTGTGTCCGCAAAACCCACAACCGATGGCTCGGAAGCGCATTAAGAGGGAACCGATGGACACGACCGACACCGCGGACGCCACTCCGGCCGACACAACCACTCCATCCAAAGGCAGATCTAAGAAGAAGGCGCCGCCGAAGAAGACATCGACCGCTGTGTCGACCGCCGAGAAGACACCGAAATTCAAATGCAGTCAATGTTTGAGTGGTTTTGCGGCCGAAGAAGACATTAATGAACACATCTTTCGACAACATTACGGACTCGTAAGCCATATATGTCTTAAAGACTGATTCACTCATTTGCGCTCCACTTAAGGCCCGAATCAATGACGACACGAAGACTCCGTTCACCGAAAAAGAGATTATTAAGGCTCTAATCAAAGCCCAGAAAGTGATGAAAACCCTGAAGTGTCATAACGTCGGCTGCGATAAGACATTTAAATCGGGTCTCGGATTGAAAATGCATTGGGAATTATGCGGCAAAAGTGTTCGTTCGCTGCCATTAGACCACCGAATGAGACAATCGTCTGATTAATGTTTTGTTTGTTTGTATCGATAGGAAGAAGAATTGAATACAAATTGCGAGATCTGTGGTAAGGGTCTAAAGATATCGTCGGTTTCGTATCACATGAGAATGTCTCACAGCAACAAACATACGGCAAACGAACCGACCGAAGACATGGACACTGTTGACGAAGAACTAGATGAACCTCACAGTAGATCGAGAAAGAGATTATCGGCCATTAAGTAAACAAACATTAGCTTTAATTGACACGAAATTTAATTAATTGTTTTCATTAGAGCCTCAAAAACGATTAAAAAGAGCACAAAAGGGGAAATAATCATTAGTGGAAGCGTTACTGATAATGAAAACGACGACAATTCTGATTCGGAAACTGAAGTGGAAGAAGAAGTGGACGCAGAACCAGATCCAGAGGAGAGGGCATTGATTAAGGAACTGAAGAAGTCTAAAAATACAACGGATGTGACAAACAATAGCACTCATCACTCATCG